ATTTATAAAAGAATGGCAAGATTGTGCAAATTGTGCTTCAAAAACCTAAATCATACCGGAAGAGTGATCATCTTCCTGGAAGAGAGAACAACTGATGTAAGCCTAAAAATTCAAGGACAATTATCTAACTAAAGAAGAAGAGAATGAAGGGTGTTCTAGGCCAGATAAAAAGACATAGGGGAAATAGCATGAGTGTGAGGAAAACCAAGGTTTTCTATGTGGTCAGATTGCACATGCAGTGTGAGTCATTTGTAGTGGCTTCTATGAAGCCATTTGGTGGGTGAGAGACAAGAGGTGAGATTAAGATGTCACCAGGAAGTAGATCTTGAAACATTTCTGAGAACTAAGTTAAAATTTTTATATTTCACCCTAAATGGTTTTGGAAAGTATTGAAAATGCTGAACAGGGAATGGCAAAATTGGAGTTTGGTTTTGAATGGCACCCAAATACTTCAGGCAGAAATTTACAAGGCAGTCATGTTATCACCCTCTCTTGCAATCTCTCACATTTAATCCACTAAGGCTCAGATTTCACTGTTAAATATATCTGGGCTCCATCTCTACTTCTTTTCCCTCTGCTGCAACAATCTTAAACCAGGATCAACCAAGATGTCTTCAAGAATATTTTATGAATATGTTAACTGGTCTCTTATCTATCATTTATACACAATAGCATGAATGATCTTCTAAAACTGTACATACTATACTTCTCCTTAAAATGTTTCATTGACAGGATCCTAAAAAAGATGATTAATGAAGATCCTTCTGAGGACTTTATATCTGAGGTGAAACTCACCAACCAGATTGATAGAAGCTAGCTATTCAAAAAACTAGAGGAAAATCAGAACGACATCGCTAACACATTGAAAAGGCAACCCAAGGAGTGACAGAAGATATTTACAGAACAGGGCCCAGATACACCATTAAAATAAAACAATAATAAAAGGCACAAGAGGCAGACCCTCCATAATAGAGAAGTGAGGAATGACATGTAACACCAATCAAGTCCTGCTATGGACAGAATGTTTGTATCTGCCCCATATCCGTATGTTGTAGCCTTAATCGCTAACATGATGGTATTTGGATATGGTGGGGCCTTATGGGGGGTAATTAAGTTTAGGCGAGATCATGAGGATGGAGTCCCCATCATGAGATTGTTCCATTAGAGGAGGCTAAAGAGACCAAGCACTCACCCTCTGTCACATGAGTATAGAGCGAGAAGGTGACTATCTGAAAACCAGGAAGAGGGCCTTCACCAAGAACCCAACTATGATCTTGGATTTCCAACCTCCAGGATTCCTGAACTTCCATAAACGTTTGTTGTTTAAGCCACCCAGTCTATGGTTTCTGTTGATGCAGCCTAAATTGGACAAGTCTTAAGGAACAGAGCAAGATCCCAATCTGAATTTATCTCTATAACAGTAACCAAGACGCCCAATCTTAATAAAAGGATGAGGTACGGCAGAAAGGATGAGGTACAGATGTAAATGATGCCCAGTGTTTGGTAGGCATTTGTCATCAGTTGGTGATTTCAGTTTGATCAAAATATATAAAGATCAAAGTGGGGCTGCAGTTTTAAGAAAGGCCAAGCAGAATACCTGCCAGCTGGTTCCTACTGAAGACCAGAGATGCAAGCAGCACCAGTGGGCAGACTGAGTGGGTCAGTGTTTTGAATTTGTGATGCTTCCATCTGAGAATGGCACCAAAATTTAAGAGTTGTATTTTCTTTCAGACACTTTGGTACTTGATCATACAGTAGAAAAAAGTTACTTCAGAGTTCCACTAGCTAGTATGCTTCTGAGACAGAAGACAATATTTTTTATGAAAAATCAATGCAAGTGTGTTGAAAATGTGATGTTTTATTAGAATCAGGGCAGACAGTTTTGGAAGACCAGATCACCATTTCACATATTATGTAAGAGGCTACATTGTAGACTCCTCATATTAATATCTACCTCATGATCCAATACTTCATTTGCCAAATTTTGCCCTGTTCCTGGCTCCAATCCTCATGTTTTAATGATAATTTGCAGGCATTCCATTTTTTAAGAGTCTGAGCCACTTCAGAAAATTAGTAGCCATGGAATTATATTAAACTCATACAGCTTTGCCAGTAGAGCTATCTCTTTTCATTAAATCAAACATTTATAATACATTAATGAACACTACAGCCTTACAAGGTTAGTGATTGATTTCTGCATTAGGTAAAAGGGAGATAATTATAGTCAATAGTAAAGTAACCAAAACATTTAGTAAGCTTTAAATCTGTAAAATAAAAACAACAAGCCTCCTCCTGTCCCCAGATTGTTCATTTGCCATCTTTAAAAGGCCCTCTTGCCCGCAATGGCCCTAGTAAATTCTAATTCCCTTAACTGTACATGTACTACTGCCCTTCATAATGTTGTACAAAACATTAAGTGTTCAACATTGTTTATGTGCTACATACAATATCAACTAAGACTTAGTTCCAGCACTTGAGGAATTCATGGTATAATCAAAGAGTCAATGTAGCACTAAAATTGTATAAAAAAAGGCATCAGAAGGCTTCACAATGAAAGTAGACTTGTAGTTTGATCTTACAGGATGAGCAATACTTTGAAAAGAGAAGGAATTCTAGGTCAAATGAAAAGCATGTGCAATAGCTTAGTTATAGAGATTGTGATGTGTGTGTGTGTGTGTGTGTGTGTGTGTGTGTG